TTATAACCTCATAAGGCACGTTTTATATCACTAACCCCAGGAGACTTTTTCACTCATATTGGAAATGAACTCAACGGGACTACACCACTCTCCTGCAGATCTGAGCTGTGGACTCACGGTATGGGATGATATCACCCGGTATACACCGCCTAGGTCTCATTCACCAAATCCATGATAGGTTACGATTGTTTATTGCCATGCCTAACCTCTATATTTCATACTGGTGTTATACTCATGTTATACTAGCTGTTGAATGTCGCACCTCCTGAATATGTGCTCCCCCCCACTTTAGCAGACACATAGATAAGTGAGATGACCTGACTTACTATAACGCCCCATGACGTAGGAGACGGCATCCTAACTATTGAATGATAGGGCACACCGCCATTAACAGATAATTGAGGGGACCAGAACGATAGAGCAGGGTTTAGGTGGGGGGCGCAATAATCGACATGCAAGCACAATCAGACAGATGAACGGGGGACTGCTCAGAGGACACGCAACGGCTGCCACACATTGCAGGGGGAAGACAGAGGACGCTGGGAGGGGGGAACGGACGGGGCTTGGACCAAAAGGTGGGATAAGGTACAAGTCATATGTGTAGGAACCTTCATGTTGTACTCGCATTATGGTATTACTATATTGTTGAATTGTTATTGTATTCATGATCACATGTACCACCCCTGTTGGGTGGCGCCTTGACACTTAGAAACTTCATATGGCACTAGGCTGCGGTGCTGGTGGGGGGGAATCTCATTTGGTATCGTTCTCATTTCTCTCTCTCACACCGGTCTGGAGCGGAGCCATTGACTCCACCTAAAGGTCGTGCAACTCTTCTGACAGCGGAGCACCTGGTGGACCATATCCCGGTCTGGTTACTGGAGTGGCCCCCGGCAGATCCGGCTGTCGCACGACTAATACCTCCAAACACTGAGGAGGTATTGAGGAGAAATCCTCAACCCACCCTGTCCCCTCACATAGAGTAACCTCTTCACTTGAGGTCCTGATTTTACGACCCTCCCCCCCAAATCAATTTTTTTTATTTTTTTTTCTCTTAATTTTTTATTTTTTTTTATTTTATATCATTCACACTTCCCTGGTGTCCACTCTCCATCCCCGACAGGGACGAGTGTCACACACAGAAACCACACCCTCCAAACACCAGTCATATAAGTCCTTGACTGTCGCGAAAGCGGTAGCGAATTTGCAACCAGTCTGTACAGGGGGGCATAGGAAAGGAGGAGGGGTTGCCCATATACAAGACAACCCTAGCACCGATAACCCTGAGCCCGGTGTGGGGGTACGTAGTCTAGCTCTCCGGCACCGCGCTCCCGTTAACGCCAAAAGACATAGGATAACGGATAGGACCTCAACGGGTCCCTGTAGCTAACTGTAGCGAAGGGAGTGAGTTTCAAACGCAAAGCTCTCCGCGTGCTCTCGGGGCTCTACAGAGATGTCCGCGTCCTACCACGACGCGCCACTACGTGTCCTTACCCTCAACTGCAGGGGACTGAATGCTCCCGAGCGCCGCACACATCTGCTACGCGACTTGAGGAAGACACAAATATCTGTTGCTATGCTTCAGGAGACCCATTTCCTAGAGGGCCTCTCACCTAAATTGCGGAACCGGTACTACCCCAACAATTACTTCAGCAACCACAACACGGCTC